GCTTCTTGCCAATTAGATATTAGCTCAAGTGTCATGTTTTCAAAAATGGATGCTATTACCTCCAATAAATACTACCTCCCCCATTCCCTTATCTGTGATGTCAGCCATTTCTTATCATACCCAGGGGATATTGTAAAAATAATAACAGAGAGCTTATCTGCCATGTTTAGTTTTGTAGTCACAGTTCCTTGAGCAGTTTCCCACACACAATAGGTGTTAGTCAATACTTATTTAAAAAGAGTGAAAGGAGGAATGAACCAAGAGTAAAAGAATTTAGGCAAAATGAAATTATCTCACTTGGGATACATAACATGGACAAACTCACTGAAGTAGTAATATCAGTGAATATAATAACTATAGAAGATTTTATTTCCAAAGAAGGTGGTAACAAAAACTCCCTTCCACTGTGCTCTTCTACCGTGTGACCTTGGCACTCTCACATCAAAAAGTAGAATCCATTCGCAACCCTTTGATTCTGGTTCAACTGTGTGATTGCTGTGCAAGGTACAAGCTTAGTACTTAAACCAGGCGGAAAGATTCTGTTTTCTGCCTCTTGAAAGCTAATGACCAGGCAAGAAGTAAAACTACCCCAAGACCACCAGCCTAAGAGTAAAAGCTGCATAGAAATGCCCAGAGTGGGGTAGTACATGGAAACAGGGATAAAAAAAGGTTAAAGGGCACCAAGATGCCAGATATGTGACTGAAGAAGGCAATTTAGGGGCTTCTGTGCCACCCCCCGGTGCCCTAGTTGATGCCATGTATTTTAGAGTCATCCCACACAACAGACTTTTTTCCAAATTCCTAACACACAAAATTATGAAAAACATAAATGTTTGTTTTAAGCTGTTAAATTTTATAAAAAGGAGTTCTGTGAGAGTATTGTTATATAACAACTGATAAGCAAAACATTAACTAAAATTTAATAGTATCACTGTGCTAAATCTTTTATATGGATTAAATCATTTATTATTTTCAACCATCTTAAGGGTTAGGTACTATAATTTCCCCTTATCACACAAGTCCTGAGTCCTGAAAACTCAGGACTTGAATTTGGGGAGTCTGACTCCCTACTACACTCTTAATTCTACCATTTAAGAGGCAGCTGCTAATGAAACATGGGCAAGAACATGTCTAGTAATAGTGCCAAATGTGTTTGGATGAACTATTTGACATTTATCCCCAAATTTCAATAAGTGTTAAAACCACACAAACAGCTAATGCACTTCTACAGCTCTTCAACAAAGCAAAAGGAAAGCAATGTAAAAGAATAAGGAGAAACGTGAAGGGGAATGGAAAATTAGGGGTAAGTGGCTTTTATTCTCCATCTTGCAAAACAACAGCCATTTATTAGGGACACTTACAATGTTGTCTGAAGAAAGAAAGGAAATATATTTTGCTTGATTATTGTAGGAAGAGCGCTACATTAGTCTTTGTACTGGGGCTATTTTGACTTGTTTTTCTCCTGCTTTCAATCAATCTTGCCATATAGAATTCTACTTCAAAATGTATTTGAACTACTTAGAAAATCTCTTTCTTAACCTTAAATTCTGCAAATTCTTAAAATATGAATGTTATATTCTAGCTGTCCTCAATTGACTAACATCCTTAAAATAGAAAAATGTTAATAATAATAATAATAATAGTAAAATGTAAATAGAGTCGACAGCAAGCATAAAATAACTCTGAAAAGATATAGCATAAAATAACTCTGAAAAATATAGTGAATTTCGAACTTTGAGTGTACTGTTATTTTTCAAGGTAATATTCTTTGCTTCCTACATATAGTTTTCTTTGTATAAATAAGTTATAGGTCTAGTATAAATTAGTTTATTTGATAGCATTAAAATATAAAAGCATGTTTAAATTGAACTAGCAAGAAGGCACTTTTAGGCTAGTTATTCAATTTCTGAAGTATATAATATTAATAGAATTTATATTTTGGTGAGTGTTTGTTATCTTTCAACTGCCTTCAATTACTGTTGGTGGTGTTGGTGTTATTTTATTGGAGAAAAAAGGTAGAATGATAACACGAACTCCAAGAATAAAGGATAAGAGGCTTAGGAATCTTGAAAATCTTTTTTTCCCATAAGCTAAAGTTAGAAAGTTTAATTTTATATCTATCATAAATATTTATGTATTTAATATATGAGTGAAAAATTCCTGTTAGACCTGTGTAAAACTATAGGTATTTTTGAATAATATTAAAGAAAAATTGCACTGGGAAAAGTTAAACAGGCAAGGAAGACTTTATGCAAGACTATTGCAATAGGGAAGAGAGAGTGACCTCAACTCCACTGAAAAAAATCCTGAAGAGATTGGAGTGGGATTGAGAAAGATCTTAGGCCTCCTGCATGTTCTGATTGGCCTTACCCAAAGAAAAAAATGTATTTTTTCCTTGTATTTTTATAACAGGATACATTTTGACAACTTGAAACAAGGTACCTACAAAAGTTAGGCTTCTACCTTCCCACAGAGACTGGGAGATAGGTGGGCTATCATCCATGAAGATTGCTTTTTAAAGGGATGGATCCCAGGTCCTTCAGAGAGACACTCTTTATGTCATAAACTGGCAAGAGACTTTAAAGGAGATTTATGTACATTTAAAAAAAGGGCTGAGAAAGAATTGGCAATTACAACTTGTCTAAACTAAATGCTCTACTCTAAGAAAAGGAGCTTAGGGAACCATAGTCAAGAAAAAACCTGCCTTAAGTTTAATAAAGCTAAGAGGAATATTGTGGTCATCTTGATTAATGATATATTTATTTATGATCTTGGTAATAGAAAAAACTAAAGTGTCCATTGTTCTCTTTTATGTAGTAAAGAAAATATGTTTCTGTGCTGTATCTGTTAAATGAGGAAACTGTAAAAACATGGGGGTTCACTGAACTAAAAAGTTTGCAGCTGTAACCTGGTTGGCTTGAATTTAATTAAAGACCATGTGTATTTGGAAAGCAAACCCATTGAAAACTTAACTGCTGTAACAATGTTACAGATACTCTGAGAGTTTTGAATCCTTTAAGTACAACTAAACTACATTTTTTTTTTATTTTGGTCAGTGAGATGATGCATCAGAATACAGAAATTTTAAAGACTTTTTATTATAGTTGAAAGTACATTTAAAGCCAACACAAATGACTATGATTTTCCTTTTGTATTTCTTAAAGGGCTGTGAAAAGGGGGATTCTTAGTGTCGTGGGCTCTTCAGAGCCTCTCCAGCTTTATTCTACATACTTATAACTCTGAATAAAGCATTTATTCTTAATGACTAATTAGGTATATTATACTTATCCCATGGGGAGATCAAAGGACAAGGCATTAGTTTAATCTCTTTTACACTCTTTAATAGAAGTATAAACAAAATTTATTATATTAAATGTGTTCTCTGTTCTATCCAGTTGAAGATAAATATGCTAAGAGACAGAGACTTGGGTAAAAAATTGCACAGAAAATATGTGGCAGAAAAAAAAATTCAAAATTACAGAGTATTTAAAATACCTGTATTTAAAAATATGAACTTAGTAAAGAAAGAGTCATTAAAAAAGAGCATTCCAAGCTTCTGTCAATGCATGCGCTTTCTATTGAATGAAATAATTGTTAAAATGTCGAAATATTTATAAATTTTCATTTTCATCCACCTACTCACTTTCTAACACACCCTGGAATCTTCCATTTCTTATTTGAAAAATTTTGATTCACTTTTGATGTCATCTAAAACTGGATGAGTTTTTGAAAAGAAATTTTCAAATAATTTTTCCATTAGTTTACCCCTCCTTTCTTTAACAGATTTGTATAATCACTCTATTTAATATTCCAACTTTTCCATCTATACAATGTTTATCATGATAGGAATATACCAGATACATTAAGAGATGTATTATTTTATCATTTGTGATAACAAGAGATTAAAGAGGAAAAATTTATTGTAATGGCCACCTCAGCATTTGCTCTTTGTGTGACCTTTGTAAATTCATTAATTCTCTGAGAAAATAAATTTCTTTATCTATAAATGTGAAAACATTAGCAACTAGCTAATATAGCTGAGTGAAGATAATAGTTCATAATGCATGTGAAGTATTTATTACAGGGTCTGGAATGTACTTAACATTAAAAAAAATAGCTATTATCACAACTGAAAAGATGAATAGCATTTAAAATAGAGCAACTGGATTTCAACTTATTTTTATGACATTTTATTAAATTGTATGCACCATTTTATCAAACTATCTTCTGTATTTGTTGGCCATTCTCAACAGCATGTCTCTCTTAAAAATTGGAGAATAAGTAGGTATTATAAGACAACCCAAATAACACATCTCTATATTCATTATTTGTCTGTTCAAGTTTTTCACTTCTTCATGATCCAGGCTTGGTAGGTTTTATGTTTCTAGTCATTTTTCATTTATTCATTTCTTCTAGGTTATCCAATTTTATGGTCTGTAATTGTTCACAGTAGTATCGTCTGATCTTTTTTATTTCTGTGGTATCAATTGTTATGTCTCCTATTTCATTTCTAATTTTATTTATTTGAGCCCTCTTTCTATGTTATTTTTAGTAAGTATAGCTAAGGTTCTGGCAATTTTGTTTATTTTTTCAAAAAAAACCCTTTTAATTTCATTGATTGTTTTCCATTGTTTTTCTATTCTGTGTTTTCTTTATTTCTTCTAAAATCTTTGTTATTTTCTTCCTTCTGCTAACTCGGTTCAGTTTGTTTTTTTCCTAATTTCTTAAGATATAAAGTTAGACTATTTATTTGAGATTTTTCTTCTTTTGAAGGTAGGCATTCATCACTATAAACTTCCCTTTAAGTGCAGCTTTTGCTACACCACATAAGTTTTAGTATGTAGTATTTTCATTTTTGTTTTTCTTGCAGTATTTTTTTATTTCTTTATTTCTCCTTTGATTTAATAGTCCAAGATTATATTATTTACATTCCACATGCATTGTTAATGTTCTAGTTTTCCTTCTATTATTTATATTTATTTTCATTCCATTGTGGACAGAAAATAATACCTAGGAATAAGGATGGAGAAAGATGGCAAAAGATGATTATCCTGTGATTGTCCCCCTATAGAAACATCAATTTAAACAGCTGTCCACACAAGAAAATACCTTTGCAAGAGCTAAGAAAACTAGGTAAGAGATTACAGTACCTGATTTTAGATTAATAATAAGAAAAAGATACTTTGAATAAGTCAAGAAGAACAGTCTCACTTTGCCTATCCTATTCTTCCCCAATGCCCGACAGTGCAGCACAAAGACACCATCCTCTTGGGAGACAGAAAAAGGGGTATGCATGGGACTTTTGCTTTGGAACCCAGCACCAGTCCCACCAATGTAAAATTCGTAAGTGGGTAGAACCTCATAGCCTTTGATTCCAGGTCAGCGTCCATGCACAGAGTCTCTAGATCTGCCCCAGCACCAGATGAAGATCTGACACCCCAGCAGAATGGACTTAGATCCAGTGCATGTCACTGATGGCTGACTAAAGTAGCCTTGGACATTCAATAAACTTCAGCAGCAGGCAGACCATAGTATCTGTGGGCTTTGTGTGTGTCTGAATGCAGCACTGTTCTCAAAGGCTGTGGGCTTCAGGTGTGACCCAGAACAGTGTGAGCTTAGGTGACCACAAGATTGCCTGTATCATGGCTTCCACAAGCTCCGGCAGGGCAACAAGTTCAGAGATACTGTCTGCTTGCAGAAAGGAGAGGGAAATGAGCATGAGATTTACCTTGAATCCCAGTACTAGACCCACAATAATAAAACCCAGCATTGGGGAGAACACCACATCCCCTGATTCCAGGCTGATGCCCATGTGATAGAGCTTCTAGAGCCACCCAGGCACCCAATAGGAACCTGCTGCCTGAGTGGGATGAACTTGTGTTCTGGTCTACAAGACTTCCAGCTGACTATAGTGGTTTTGGGCCCAAAAACCCTCAATAGTAGGCATGTTGTAGAAAACATGGGCTTTAATGACCATGGGCCTTGTGCGCAGCCCCATGTTGTACTGGTATTAGTGGCCATGGGCTTTATAGCTATGAGATTGTCCACAACTCCCTTCCTCTAACCCCAGGCAGCTCAGTGTGAAGAGAGATACTATTCAGTTGTAGGAAGGAGAGGGAAGCAAGCTATGGAATTTAATTTACAACCCATTACCAGGCCCACCACATAAAAATACTACACTGTGCTTGGGTCCCTGATCAGCTTTATCATATAGCTTTGATACATCCTTGGAGCTTCCAGTCTGGGAACTTGAAGCCTGTGTGAAACTCACAGCAAACCTGGACTCAGAGTCCCCTCCAGTGCCGAAACAGCCACAATGATCACAGGCTTATGGAACTCAATAGTCACTGCTTTGAATTTCTGGAAGGCCCTCTGAAGAAGGGCAGGTACAAACAAAGCCAGACTTCAAAGACTTGAATAAATTTCTAATTCCTTAATGACCAGATATTGATATGTGTTCACAAGCATCAATAACTGTCAGGGCAATATGATCTTGCCAAACAGACTAAATAAGACAACAGTGACTAACTTTAGAGACACAGATATGTGTGATTTTTCAGAAAAAGAATGCAAAAAAACTCTTCTAAGCAAGCTCAACAAACTTCAAGGAAACACAGAGAAACAATTTAGAATTTGTCACAGAAACTTAACAAAAATAGTGCAATAATAATAATAATAAACAAGAAATCCTGAAGCTGAAAAATAGAAGGAGAAAACAAACATGCAATAGATGATCTCAACAACAAAATTGATCAAGGAGAAGAAAGAATCAGCGAGCTTAAACCCAGGCAATTTGAGAAGATATAGAAATGAAAGCAACAAAAGCAAAACTAGACAAATGAGAGTACATCACACTAAAATGTTTCTGCACATCAAAGGAAACAATCAATAGAAAGAAAAGACAACCTATAGAATCTGAGAAAATATTTGTAAATCATATATCTGATAAGAGCTAATACGCTAAATATATAAGGAAGCCCAATAACTCAATAGCAAAACAAAACAAAACAAAACAAATAATCCAATTAAAAAATTTCAAAGGACTTGAACAGACATTTCTCCAAGAAAGACATACCAAGACCACCAGGTATATGAAAACAGGTATATGAAGATGTTTGATATCACTAATCATTCAGAGAAATGCAAATCAAAATCACAAAGGTATTGATTCATACCAGATAGGATGGTTGCTATTAAAAAAAATAAAAAAACTAAAAAGATAAGTGTTAGGAGGATGTGGAGAAATTAGAATCTTTCTACACTGTTGATGGGACTGTAAATTCATGAAGCCACTGTGGAAAACTGTATGGAATTTCCTCAAAAACTTAAAAATGGACCTACTGTATGATATAGCAATTTCAGTTTGGGTATATACTCAAAAAATTAAAATTATGATCTAGAAGAGAGGTCTGTTCTTCCACATTCATTCTAGCACTACTTACAATAACCAAGTTCTGAAAATAGTGCAAATGTCGATTAGGAAGAAATTAATGGATAAAGAAAATGTGGTATATACATATAATGGAAAATAATCCAGCCTTTTAAAAAAGAGGAGATCCTGCCATTTATGACAACATGGATGAACCTGGAGGACAGCATGCTAAGTGAAATAAGCCAGTCATAGAAGGACATATTTCCATGATTCCACTTATACGAAGTACATGAAATAATCAAACTTATAGAACCAGAGAATAGAACAGTGGTTATCAGTGGCCAGTGGGAGAGAGATATGGAAAGTTGTTAAAATATTTTAAGTTATAGTTATGCAAGATGAATTAGTTCTAGAGATCTGCTCTATAGCACAGTGCTTACAGTGAACAATGTGATTTCATATACTTAAAAATCCTATAAGTGAATACATTGCATACATGTTAAGTGTTCTTACCACCAATAAAAGGGAACACAAGGACATTTTTGGAGGTGATGAATATGTTATAACCTTGATTGTAGTGATAGTTTCATGCTTATATGAATATGTCCACATCAATTAAATTGTATACATTAAATATGTATAGTTTTTGGTGTGAAAATTATATCTCATTAAAGCCATTTAGTTAAAAGAAGAAACCACTATGGCAAAAAAGAAATAATGAAAAAGAAAAAAATGTTAGGTCATTTTAGCATTTGAGGAATTAAATAGATAATTTTAATATAATAAGTAACTGAATTAAAGATTTTTATAATAAATGTTTATTTTTTATTTTTACTTTATTATGTATTTATAAATTAAAAATGTTAAGGAAAAATGAAATAGTACTTAACTCACTAGGTTGCATTTGTCATATATGTACAATTGCCATAAAAGCCTCTTTCAACAATTTTCAGTTTTTTTCTCTTCATGGAGTCAAAACATATGCATTAATCCACTAAATGCACTCATAATATATTGATAAATGCAATAAATACATTCAAAGTATATTGATGCATACAAATAACAAGCTTGAAAGTCTAAAATGAAGTAAAAGGAAAGTGCAAAATAGCAATAGAATATGGCTATTAAAGAGGGGTTGAATTTTAGACAAACCCACCATAACTTTTAAATCCAAAGAATAATACCTTCTATATAAATCACATTGATAAGATAGTAAAGTTATTCCAGTATTATTACTATTTTCTGAAAATCTATGAAATTTCTTTCTTGCAATTTAGCTCAAGGTGAATTTTATGAGCTAGACATGAAGTTTAGTCTTATTACTTTAGTTACACTGTTTTTCTTTGATTTAAACAGTATCTTCCAATTTAATCACTACCTTATTCAGCAAACTTAAATTAGTTGTATACTTTCCAAAAATTGAATCCACCTTCAAATGATAAAGGTTTTCCATAACAGAGAATGTTCAATAGAATGCACCTCTGAGAACAATCCCAAAAAAGAAGGTCCAGAAATATTTTGAGCAATGTCAGCATATTTAGAATAAATGCATAGTCTTATATTGTCATCATTAACTATTCTCTTTACTGTGTGGGTGTTTGATTATTTTGGGGGTAAAACTTATACATCCTTCACAATCACTATCTAGAAAGACAAATTTTTGCAGCCCTAACTTACATTGAATATTAACTTTTAAAGAATTTGTTAAACTTTGTAAATCCCTAGAAATGATTTTCTTGGCAAATTGCACATTTTATTTTTTTTAATTTTTTTTATTTCAGCTTATTTTTTTTTTTATTTTGGCATATTATGGGGGTACAGATTTTAAGGTTTCAACTAATGCCCTTGCCCCCTTCCCCCCACAAGTCTGAGTTTCAAGCATGACCATCCCCCAGACAGTGTACATCTCACTCATTATGTATGTATATACCCGCCCCCCCCCCGACCTGCCCAATACGCTATTACTGTAGTTCCTATGTGTCCACTTAGGTACTGCTCAATTAATACCAGTTTGCTGTGAGTATATGTGATGCTTGTTTTTTCATTCTTGGGATACTTCACTTAGTAAGTAGTATAGGTTCTAGCTCTATCCAGGAAAATACAACATATGCTATATCACCATTGCTTCTTAGAGCTGAATAGTACTCTATGGTATAGATATACCACATTTTGTTAATCCACTCATGAATTGACGGTTGTTTCCACAGCTTTGCAATTATGAAGTGTGCTGCTGTAAACATTCGAGTGCAGGTGTCTTTTTTGTAGAGTGTCATTTGTTCTTTTGGGTAGATGCCCAGTAGTGGGATTGCTGGATCAAATGGTAGATCCACTTGTATTGCTTTAAGATATCTCCATATTGTTTTCCATAGAGGTTGAACTACTTTTCAGTCCCACCAGCAGTGTAGGAGTGTTCCTATCTCTCCCAATCCATGCTAACATCTATTGTTTTGGGACGTTTTGATAAAGGCCATTTTTACAGGAAATAAGTGATATCTCATTGTAGTTTTGATTTGCATTTCCCTGATGATTAGGGATGTTGAGTATTTTTTCACGTTTGTTAACCATTATTCTGACTTCTTTAGAAAAGTTTCTGTTCATGTCCTTTGCTCACTTTTTGATAGGGTTGTTTGATTTTTTTCTTGCTGATTTTCGTGAGTTCTACGTAGCTGGATGAGAAGAACATATATTCAGGTGGATTTTGGGTAAGATGTCCTGTAAATGTCAGTCAGATCCAATCTCTAGAGTTTCATTTAATCCCTAT